CTAATTACACATATATTTCGTAGAGTTCACTACGAAGCAGTATTAATTCTATTTCGACGAAATTTTTCTGAAATGTTCGCATATTTTTAAATTCACAAAACATTCTATTTTCACTGATATTTAGTAGATATTACAGAGAAGCTCTGATAATACGCTGAATTTATCTGTTTCGAATATGTTCCCATGTATATATTTTTTTCGATGTACATTCAACAAAACTTGCTAATTTCAAATACATTGAATAGTTTTCACAATGAAACGCTAATAACACTTTGAATTTCTCTGTTTTGTTTAGGTATTCGTGATTAATTCCTATTTGATATTGTAAATTCGACAAAACTTGCCAATTTCACAGACATTTCTCAGATTTCACGTTGAAACAGTGATAACACGATGAATATCTCTCTTGCGATGATGATTTCGTGAAACATTCGTTTGTTTCGTTCTAAACTCTCAAAAATTGCTAATTCCATTGACATTTCGTTGATTATATGACGAAACTGTGATAATAAGTTTAATCTCTCTGTTTCGACGATATGTCGTGAAATATTCGAAATTTTCGTTTAAATACTACAAATCTAATTTCACACATATTTCGTTGATTTCACAACAAAACCGTCACAATACGTTTAATTTTACGATTTCACAATGTTTTCGTAAAATATTCGTATTTTCCGTAATAATTCTGGCTCGCTAATTAATTTTAGATGACATTCATGTACAATAAAATTTTGTTCATAGTGATCCACGTGTTGCGTCTAATACAAGATATACATAACGACACGATATATTCAGAGAAAAAATGTCGAAAATCTTGATGTTTTATACGTAAATCAAGTACCGGAACTCCGTATTATTTCAGGCTAGACAAATAATATTTAATGATATCTGTGTTCAAAAAAATAGTGTTTCCCAATATGCGTAGGACAACATGAAACAATCATATCATTATGATATATTGATCGCATGAATGTAGAAAATTGAATAGTCATATGGTAACACAATTCTACGTTCTGTACCGGAACTCTGATGGTAGTATTTCGTGGTCGTTAAATAATATTAAATGATGTTTATGAACAGAAAGACTGTGACCCCGATCAAATTTTTTTCACATTAGTTCTGTCAAAATGTCATATCGATTTTATGGTCTTATATTACACATTGCGGGGTTCACGACAAACTCAATTTTTTTATATATACCAACAATCCAAAATTATAAATCGACCTCTAATTATTGCGGTCCGATGGTACGGTCCGGGTTTTACATATCAAAACCATTTACATACATTCTGTCATATATTATCTCAACTTGA